CAGCACTAAGGATGTCCAACTGCAGCTTAGGCCTGCTCCCCGCTGGCAAGTGGACATCCCCCGAGGGCTCCCGGGCTGCCAGAGGGATGTCTGACTGCCAGCTTAGGCCTGATCCCCCGGGGAGCGGGCCTAAGCCAGCAGGTGGACATCCCCCGAGGGCTCCCAGACTGCGAGAGGGCACAGGCCGGGCTGAGGGACCCCTACCCCCCCCCAGTGCACAAATTTTTTCTGCACCGGGCCTCTAGTCCTATATAATAAAACCCTAATATGCAAATCGACTGAACGGCAGAACGACCAGTCGCTATGATGTGCACTGACCACCAGGGGGCAGACGCTCAACACAGAAGCTTCCCCCTGGTGGTCAGTGTGCTCCCACAGGAGGAGCACTGCTCAGCCAGAAACCTTGAGCCTGGCTCATGGCTGGCCAGCACAGTGGCGGTGGCGGAAGCTTCTCCCGCCTTCTCAGCAGAGCTAAGGACCCCTTGGGGGATGTCCGCCTGCTGGCTTAAGCCGGCAGATGGACATCCCCTGAGGGTTCCCGGATTGTGAGAGGATGAAGGCTGTGCTGAGGGACACCTCCCCACCTCCCCGTGCACGAATGTTGTGTACTGGGCCTCTAGTGTGTGTGTGTGTGTGTGTGTGTGTGTGTGTGTGTGTGTATGACATAGTATTCCATCTCAGTTTATTCATTCAAACTTCCAGACCTGCCTTCTGCTTTTAATATTGCAGAGTTTGTAACTAAGTCCTTTTTTGATCTCCAGGTAGAATGAGCATGTTAGTGTGTTCCTCTGCATATTCATAATGTGGTAATTATTCACATTGTCATTTGCTATAAAATTTAACCAGTTTTAGATAGACCAATGATTTTAAAAGGTGATGTTCATTAAGGTAAACATTGCATTTTATAATTTTCAATACTTTCTTGTCATCAAGAGTGTTATTTGTTCAGATATAATCTCTGTATTTTTAAGATTTCTTTTTTTATCTTTATATTAATAAAAAAAGACCCTAGTGTGTTAGTGTTCATATTTACTTTAGAAAAATTATAAATGTGTTATTAAGTAAAGCATTGGTTATTGACTTAAACAATGTTCTCTGATATTTAGAGTCAGAGGAGGAATTTTATGATGCACCATGTAGTCCCGTGGAAGAATATTTTCAGTCAACAGGTAGCGTTAAAAGTTATCAACAAAATAAGATTCCAGAGCTGGATTGTTCAAAAAATATAATTCAGTATAAAATAAGATTTGAAGTGCCAGAGGTATGTACCATTGTAAAATTAATATTTGTTTCTTATTTCTATTCACAACTTATTTATATAGTGTTATTACTAATAGGTACTGTTGCTTTCATTCTGTTTAAGCTGAATCCAGATGTTATTCTGTTGTCCTTTCCTTTTTTGTGTTTGTATATTGTATGTTTGTGTGCTTATAAAATCTTTCCTAAATTTTAAATACATATTTATGTCATATGTATACCTCATAAATCCATATGTAACCATCATCTACATAAGCAGTTGTTTGATTTAAATAATGATCGTTTCTTTTTTCTTCTCCAGGTATCGATTCAATTTTATCACCTTGTTGAAGATTGTGAACTACCTGTGGTAGAAATTGTTGTCTTAGGATTGGGCACGGAAGTAGAACTTCGAACATTTGATTTGAAAGCCAATGCCTTTTTGAAAGAATTCTGCTTAAAATGCCCAGAATACTTGGGTAAGAATCTCTGTTTTAAAAGAAGTAATTTTACTATTTGACTACCTACTGTGGAGTTTTTAATACTCTAGGCATTAAATAAGTATATTTGCTAAAACATTCTCAAAAAAATATTACATTATGAATTAGTATATATCTACTTATATAAAAACCCTGGTTGTAACATCACGACCTGAGGTGCGACCGACTGGAAGGAAGTCAGTCCTGCAGGGGTTGTTTTGGAAACGGCTGTACCCTCCCCCGAGCTGTTTCCCCGAGCTGTTTCGGTAAGGGCGAGGTTTGAGGCAGGAACCCGCCCTCGGAGCTTGGAGGCATATCTTTATAAAGTGAGCCGCGCCAGCACGGCCAAGAGTGAACCTGAATGGGGGCGGCTGAAAGGCTTAGAAAAGACAGACAAGAGAATGAAAGCTGGGTCTCGGTGGGACGTGCTTCGCTGAGAGACAGTGACCACGCCCACAGCCATGTCTTTATTTTATAGCAGATGCCACGAGGCAAAGTAAGGGCATGACCAAGATGTTTACAACATTCTCCTGGGTTTCAATCCTACTCAACTACATGCACCTGAACTCTATCAAGCCTACATCACTCAGGCACGTGGGGCCATGTGTTTGGACTTTAAGTTCAAGCTTACAACTATAGCTGTTGGCTATAATTGTGCTAGGAGGGCCCTGCCCTACAAGCTGGGTCTTGCATGTGGCAATGAGAGTACTGTGCTCTTTCATCAGCCCAAGGTTTGAACCTGTCCAAAACACTGTAGTGGCTCCCCACAATAAAGTTTTAATACATTATATTAGAGGTTGTGGTGGTACTGTTTTACCCACAGCATCTACAGGAATTGCTGCAAATTTACTTCTCGGTGGAAGAACCTTTCATTCCCAATATAAATGACCAATTCCATTAAATGAAACTTCAATTTCTAGACTCGATACAAACAGTGAAGTTGCTAAAACTATTAAAAAGGCCCAACTTCTCATTATTGATGAATGCATCATGGCATCCAGTCATGCTATAAATGCCATAGACAGATTACTAAGAGAAATTATGAATTTGAATGTTGTATTTGGTGGGAAAGTTCTTCTTGGAGGGGTTTTTCGACAATGTCTCAGTATTGTACCACATGCTTTGGGATCGGCCATAGTACAAACGAGTTTAAAGTACTGTAATGTTTGGGGATGTTTCAGAAAGTTGTCTCTTACAACAAATATGAGATCAGAGGACTCTGCTTATAGTGAATAGTTAGTAAAACTTGGAGAT